TTTTGGTACCCCCCCCAGCTGTCATCACGAGCCACGGGCTCCCAGCTCTGCTCAGGCATCGGCGGGGCTCAGCTCCTTGCCACCAGCATCTGCACCCACCTGTTTTCGTAATCCAAGTTTCTAAATGACCTCTAAACCCCAAATAAAACAGTTGAATGCAGACTAGAAAAGCCTTAGCTCTCACCTGAAATGTGGCCCACACAAAAATATCTGGTTGGAGGAGACCTTTCCCTAGATGAGATGAGTTAGAAATGGTGAGCAGCTCCCCTGAGCAGCCAGGCAGTGGAGGCACGTCCCCATCTCCTCTGCTTTAGCAGGGGAAATCGAGGCAGCTTCTACTGCCTGCATTTTTTCTTTGCTTTGTAAACAATGCCTGGTTTTAACCAAATTTTACAAATTGGAGAGCACCTACAAAGAATTTTTCAAGTGATGTAGAGTGAAGTTTGGCAGCCGAGGTGTACCCCCACGCTTGTTCTGACACGCTAATCCCATCCAAGGCAGCGCAGGGCCCAGCTGGGGCTTGGTGCCAAAGCACGCTCCCCATGTCACCCCCTGAGCTGCTCCCAGCGTTTCTGTTCCCTGTGGTCCCAGCACCAGGTTGTTCGCAGAGGCGTGGGCCAGCAGGCAGCGGCTGCCGCCCCAGCTGTGGCAAGGGCAGGCAAGGAAAAAAGTGTAGCTTAGAACCATTCCTAGTTTTTGTGAGTTTGTATGACAACGCTAGTTAAGCATAGATTTGTGTATTAACATACACAGTGTATATTATAAATTAATACATACCAGAGCTATATTGTAGTTACGGTATCGAGCGTTATTTCCCCAGCAGCATGGGGGCAGCCTGGCGGGGCAGCCCTCCCCTCCCGCAAGGGTCTTAGGGCGCTTTGTTGTTCATCTACGTGTGTCAAGCTGCAGCCCAGAAGATACTCTGGGAGTGGAACAGGCCCAGGAGTTTCACGTGGCACCACCTTCTCCCTCCTGGGAGCAGCAGAAGAGCCCTTGGCCCCCACGAGCAGCCACCCAGGCCCCTGCCAGCAGCAGGGATGATGTAAAGCCAGGACCACTTGGGCAGCGTGATGCTCCCCTCTGCCACAGGCTCCAGCTCTGCTCCCAGAGGAGAATCGGAGTTGGAGCCTTCCAAGGCTGGCTGATCCCGCTCCAGCCCTGCTCCTGCAAAGGCGCAAGAAGAATACAGCCCTTGCCTGGAAGAGCAGGGCCAGGGCAAAGCCAGACCAGCCTCTGCCCTCCACCAGGAAGCGGACGTTGCGGGGCTGTGGTCAGAAGGTGTTTTGTACCCCTTACCTTAGCTGTGAGCCCATCACCACAGGCTACAAAGGTGCAGATAGCCCGGCCGTGGGACATGTCCCCTTTCAGCGCTGCCACAGGGCCTGTCCCCACAGTCCAGGGACGCACGGCCCCGCTGTGAGCTGGCACAGCTGCCTGCCACCTCCCACCCCCCAGCCAGCAGAATATGTAACGCAGCCAGAAGGTTTTAACCTAGCCTTGGAAATAAATTAGTTATTTTGGTTTGATTTTTTAAAAAATAAAAACACTTTATGGAAACTGGATCTTTTTCAAAGGAGTTGGTCAGTGAGGAGGAACGAGGGTTACTGGTGTGTTCTGATAGATGGGATTTATTGCTGCCCCTCCGTGAGGCCCTGCAGCAGGCACGAGGGCAGGTCCTGCGGCCACCACTGCTCATGCCTGGGACTGGGGGGGCCCAGAGCATCCTGGAGCGCAGGGGGGCTGGGGAGTGTGCCAGCATGGGAGAGCTTGGGCACCTTGGAGCCTCACCTCCTCGCTCCCGGGCTCTTTTACGTCCTTCAACTGTCCAAGTCTTCATCTTCCTCGGTGTATAGTGCATCTCTGTCCTCCTCCTCTTCTTTCTCCTCCCTCTCCTCCTCCTCCCGAGCCAGCAGCTTCTTGAAGACCTCATACTCCTCCAGGGTGGCGCAGGCCAGGCTGCCCAGGAAGTCTTTCTCGGGGAGCTGAAGGATGTCCTTCAGTTTTGGGTTATCGGTTTGGG